TATATATATATATATATATAAAACGGTTTAACTACTTTGGAGTCTATCAGTTAGTCCCAGACTTTTCTAGACTTTTCTGACCTCTAGTGGAGGAAGAAAAAGGAAAGGAAACCCGCAGTCCAGCTGATCCCCAACTCAGTTGTGCCCTTAATGCATTAATAAATAAATCCATTAATAAATGGACTATCGAACCATAGAGTCCTAGGGATGGAGGAGCCCTCAAGGGTCATCTTGTCCAGCCTCTGGCCGCACAGAAATACATACCTAAACCACACCTGAAAGGTGACCACCATCCAACTTCTGTTTAAAATCTCCAAAAAAGGAGGCTCCATCCCTCTCCAAGGCAGTTTATTCAACTGGCTTATCACAAGATAAACCTGGTCCCTTGGGTCCCATTGGTAACCCAGCCTTGAGTCCAAGATGACCACAGCCCCATATCAGTTAACAGTTTGTTGTCCAGTGAAATGTACGGCTGTTGTTGGCAAGAATATTTTGTAATGTTGGTTGTTTGTTGTAACTGCTATTGTTGAAAATAATTGATTTCCAAGGTTGCCATTCCCCTCATCCACCTTTGGTCCATCTCCCATGCTCCACAGCAGCCTCCATTTAATCTGCAATTTTGCAATCCCATCTCAAAATCCATCATCCCAAAATACGTAAATCTGGACGATGTTGAAAACACTGTCTTAGACAAGGAAGATAAGGAAAGGTCAGAAATTGTTAATATCTGATAATCTGGTAATTGTTCTGATAATGTTAATTGTGTTGTGATTTGCTTGATATTTGATCTTTTAATTTTCTTTCCTCTATATGGTAATTTGTTTATCTATTTATTTTATTTTATTTCTTAGAGTGTGCACGCCGTGGGCAGGCTTTTTTATATTTTATATTTGTAACTTTTTTACTTTGTACAGCGCTGTGTATAATTACAGCGCTCTAGAAATAAAGTTTAATAATAATAATAATATGGTGTGGAAGGGGAAATGGCAAGGTGGACTGAGTTAAAAATGAATTGTAAAAAGATATATTACAGGGGAACTCATGTGAAGATATCAGAAATATTGTGAGGATATTAGAAAGCCAGAAAATGTATACTGGATAGTAATATTCATAGTAAAAGGGGCCTTCCGCCATCTCTTGCCTATTTATTGCACAAACCCTTCATTCGCATCTTGCAAATTTTGCTGATTTCTGCAAAACCTGATCCAGGGATGTCATCAAACAAACCAAGAACTGGTCTGATGTCAGGAGACGAATTAATTGATTCTGAACGATGGGGAGGTCATAATAAACGAAATAAAAGGCGGGGGTCAGGGCAGGGGGGGCACGCGCGTGTGTCTCTGTGTTTGTGCATTTATGCCCCCCACCATCTGACAACATTAAGTCACGGAAAGCAAAATGAATCCAGGGGCTCCGTAATGCAATTTTACAGTCATTTGCTGCAGTTTATTGATCTGTCCGTTTAAAGTGCCACAGTATCATTTCACCACTGTGTTGCATTAAGGATTTTACCCAAAAAATAATAATAAAATAAAAAAAATCCCCATTTTACATTTTTGTGACTCAGGTATACAAAGTGCAAAGCTTCAGGCTTTTAGATGTGTCTGGCGAAATATATCAAAAGTCATAAGGAAAACATATCAGTGGTTCTTTTGTAAAAAGGCAGTCATAAACAGAAAATCGCTCCCTCCGCCATCCAAATGCAATGAATTATGTCTGGTTCCTTTTTCTTTGTATGCATCTGCTGCTTTCTTACATCTGCTACATTCATTTAAGACATATATATATATATATATATATATATATCCCCCTCAAAGGACCATGGAGCATTAATAAACCAGGTAGAGGGACAAGAGGGACAAAGGAATTATTTTAATGTTTGATTGAATCAGAGGAGGTTGGGAAATGACATGGACAACACCTTTAAGGGACGTGTCTGGGAATTAAAACTCACGGTCTTAATGGAGACAAAGGGCAAAGTAGCAGGAATAGAGCGAAAGAAAGAAAGAAAGAAAGAAAGAAAGAAAGAAAGAAAGAGAGAAATATATCTTGGGTTCTTGACTCATTGCAATCGTCTTAACCAGACCCTCTGCTCAACGCCACAAAAAGCCACCCTTCGCATCAGAGACACTGAGCTTTAAACGCCCAAAAATGTGCCATACTTTATGGATTGCGTCAACATCGCTAGCACTATATCTTCCTTAATAAGGAAGCCTAATTATCCATGTAATTTGGTGGTTTCATAATTTGTCACATCAGTCTTAAAAAAAA